TGCGAGCAGAAAATTCCAATTCCCTTTTCCAAAAAGATCTTCCTTTTTGTCACTTTTTAGAAAGGAATTTCTAATTGGTAATGAAATTTCAATTCCTTCCTTGTCCTCTTATGCGACTTTTCAACACAAAAAAAAATTGACGAATGACTTCTCAACAACCAGAAATCACAATTGGCGATCAAACACAACTGTAGGTACTGTCTTGATTCATCATTTCTAATTACTCCATGTCAGCTCATGTCCTGAGGAAAATGCAAATATATTTTCCAGATTGACATTTGGTATTTCAACGATTTGATAAAACTTGGATCTGAAAAAGTTCTTGAAATGACTGACCTCTATGGATTGAGAAGCGAAGAGAAAGCTGCACATATTTCATCTTCTTTTCAAAATGAATGGGAATCAGCAGTTACATCTTCCAATCGGAGCAACTCAAAACTTTTAAAAGTCATTCATAAAGTTTTCGGTCGTCGTTTCTATTTGGCTGGATTCTTGAAAATCATTTATGACATCACTCAGTTGGTTAGTCCCATGTTTGTACAGTGGATTGTAGGTCATATAAGAGAAGGAGAAAAACTCTTCGGTGTTTTGGGGCTATTTTCTTGCAATATCGTTATTTCTTTTGCAATTGATTGGTGCTATTTTTCTGCAACAATACTTTTTGTTGTAATGACTCAAGGAAGGAGAAATTATCACAGCTCTAATGACCGCTGTTTATCGAAAGACTCTTTCTTTGAGCCCTGTCGTAAAGAAGAATTTCAATAATGGACACATTATCACATACATGACGACTGACTCTGTCAAGATTGGTGGTCTCGTCAAGAATCTGCACATGACTTGGAGTTGTGTTTTGCAGATTGTTGTTTCTGTGACCATGTTGGTGATCATGCTTGGTTGGCCTGCATTGACTGGATTTTCAATCATTGTTGTGGTTGTGCCAATATGTTGGCTCATTACTCGAGCAGTAAGAAGAATTAGGAGATCGGCCTTGCTCATTTCCGCTCAAAGAAAGAGCAGTCTTGAGTGAAGTCATTAATGGCATTAGGACCATCAAATTGAATGTTTGGGAATCAGCTTTTGTCGATAAGATATCACAGATTAGGAAATCTGAAATGTGGAAAAACACTCAAGTCATGCTTGCTAATTGTTTTACCAACAGTCTTATGCGAGTTATTCCAATATTTGTTGCAATTATATCACTTGCCGTGTATTCTATTTACAACTCTCTGGAACCAAAAATCATTTTCACATGCTTGTCTTATATCAATCTGCTTAAAGCACCCACTACATTCTTTCCTTCATTATTGGCTTCCTTTGTTGAAGCAAAAATTAGCTTAAGATAGAATAGAGCGTTTTCTTACTGCAGAAAATGTTGAAGAAATTCAAGTATTGACTGAGGAGTCAGAATATGCAATACAAGTGAAAGAGGCTCTTTCTCATGGGAAGAAAAGCGTTGCAATATGTGAACCATCCCTCAATACTAATGCTATTGAGAAAGAGTCCGAACAACATCAATTAGTTGACACCAGTAGTGGTCATTCATCGGTTGACAAAGTTTCCATATGCAAGACATTTTCATTGATGAATATTAACCTCAATATAAGGAAGGGTTCGTTAGTAGTCGTGGTTGGTTCTCTTGGTTGTGGAAAATCCTCACTACTCTCCGCCCTATTGGGTGAAATGAAAAGAACAACATGGAACAATTACATTGGGAGGAACATTGGCATATGTTCCTCAACAAGCATAGCTCAAGGATGCCACCATTAGAGACAACATTCTCTTTGGAAATCCACTTGATGAAGACAAATATAATAGAGTCATCGAAAGCTGTTGTCTAGGCACTGATTTGAAATCATTAGAATGTGGAGATAGATACATGGTCGGTCAGAAAGGTTCCATGCTTTCTGGAGGGCAAAAACAGAGGGTGGCTTTGGCCAGAGCTCTCTATTCCGATGCAGATGTCTACCTTTTAGATGACGTACTCTCTGCGTTAGATCCCAATGTTAGGACGAGCGTTTTTCATCACTGCATTTGTGGATATTTGGCAAACAAAACTCGAATCCTTGTAACTCATCAATTACAGTTCTGTAATTTTGCCGATCATGTTGTTGTGATGAAAGAAGGTCAATTAATGGCACAAGGTTCCCCCAAAGATGAAAACTTTCATAAGGAATATTTGCAACACATGTCAGAAGATTCAAACAAGCATATACAGTTGGATCC